AATTTTAAGCTCAGATTTTGGTCAAGTTTTCAAAAGAAGAGCACGTTTTTAGGTGCATAGTTCAAGGACTGTTGGAAAGTTCAAAACAAGAAGTTTTTTTTTTCATTTTTGCAGGTTGGCTGTGAAAAATTGTGAAATTAGGCCAATTTTTTTGTATTCTTATCTATTGCACAGGAGTGAAGGTTGATGGGGCGTTCAAGGCTTTAATCCTGCATTGTGTCAGTTCAGGGAGATGTTGAACACATCGACTTGGGTTCTGCAACACTTTGAGCTTTTCACTATTTTCTGACAATTAATTGGAAAAACGCATCAGTAGATAGCACAGCTTGCTCCTAATGTAGCAGGAAAATCTGCTGTAGGTTAAGATGTTGGCTTAAAAAGCACAACATGGTTCTCTTTAGATTGTGAGTTTTGTGGTATAACATGAATGAAATAAACAAAACAAAGTAAATAAAAATGATCTTTTAAAATATAATAACACTTCATAAAACATCCATATCTATACAGTTATACTGAAACTTTTAACTCGGTGCTGTGAAAAACTTGCAGTTATTTTATTTTAAATTGCAGCAAACGTAAATGATTTTGGACACGCTTGTCTTTTCACAGCCACATGTTTGCAATACTTCCAGTGATTTACTGGACAAAATGAGTCATTTGAACGCATCAGCTCGGGTTCTGTAACACTGTGATTGAACTTCTCACTATTTTCTGACACAATTAATTGGCAAAACTCATCAAGAGATCAAATCAGGTCCTTCTGCTGCCGTCATTAAATCCAAACGGGAGCAAGATCTAGATCTCACCATTAGAGAGGAGCTGTGGGATTCTGTCCTTGGCCAGGTCCATACTTCATCAATGTGTGCTCGACACGCACTGGTTCAATTGAAGATTGTTCATCGTGTGCACTTGTCAAAGTTGGCACACATATATCCAGATGTTGACCCAACTTGTGGAAAGTGTGGAAGTGCACCTGGTACTTTGCTTCATATGTATTGGTCC